TCTTTGAAACTTGAATATGGTCTCCATTACTAAGTCTGTAGTCAAAAAACAGTGCTTTGAGACCAGCAGGTGGCATGGTAGTTAAGGCGCTGGACTTCCACAGGGCTGACCATGGTTCGAGTACCAGTCCTGGTGTCTTGCTTTCTCACTTTCCCTCTCTTTCTTTCTGTCTCTGATGAGCACATGTGTCCCATAGCATATGAAAAAATAATAATAAAAAAGAAAAAATTAAACAAATAATTCTTTTTAAAAAATGCACTTGTCTTTTAATCTGTTCATAGTTACCTTCTCCCTCCTTGCTCACTGCCTCCAAGCTTTTGAATTTTTGTAGTAAAACTACCTTCAAGTGGATAGAAACTTGTTTTCTTGAAAGAATCTACCGAAAGAAAGAATGAAAGAAAGAAAGCTGCAACATTCCAGCATCACATTGCCTTTAAATTTTAATAACATTACACGCTTTTTTCCCCCTGCACTTCTCAACAGGGAGGATTTTGTCTTCTGTTCTTAGAAGTTGATTTTTAAAAAAATTTTTTTAAAAGAATTCATTAAATTATATATTGCCTAAAACAGGTGGGCCTGACACTCTTTGATAGACTGTCAAATATCATTTAAGTCAGGAAAGAGCTGCTTTTTCAGTCGTCTTCTGGCTGAGTGGGTGTCCGTAGGCGGAATGCTGTGAGCTGTACCCCTTAACTAGAATGGGGACCCTCTTTTTGTTGCTAATTTGGTAAAGACTGAAATGATGCTCCAAGTGGGAGCAGATAAGTAGTTGCTTAAGTGGTTTGAGCACTCCTCCTTTTGAGGCACATTCATCTCGAGGCTGAGTACTCTACCCTGCCATTTGCTTAGGAGCGGCAGACAAGTGGCCTGACACCGTACGACAGCTGGCTTGGTCCGTTTCTGCTCTACCTGTGGTTAACTCACAGTGAGAGACAGAGTGCTCTTATATTTGCTGGTTCTGCAGCTAGGCTTAGAAGGAGAGGTTCCGACTTGGGTGAGCAGTCTGATTTAGGGAGTTCCAATGTTTCTCCTAGTGAGCTTGGAACCTGTGGACAATGAGCAGATTTTGGATCCATCATCCGATGGTGCACTCAGCACTTCTTTTGTGTGACTGCACTTGTTCCTCATCCTAGCCCTGGGAAGTAGGGATGCCCCCATGCAGGGGTCTAATGACTTGATCAATGCCACCTAGCAAATGACAGTGCTAAGATTCAATCCAGGGACTGGGCTCATGAGTTTGTGTTCCTTCTTCCTTTTCTGCATTCTTTCAATGGTCAGCACTTGGTGTTATTGGTAATATTGATGGGATTATTTGTTTTATTATTATCATCATAAGGAAGCAGGCCCAGAGAGACCAAGTGATTTCCTCTAGTATGTTATTCGCATGGTTGTGACTAGAATTAGGACTTGGGGCTCCCTGCCCAGACCTCTGGCCAATTTGACATGCTGTCAATAAATGTATCTCACCGTTTTCTTAAGAAATAATATTGATCATCCCAGGGCTCCTGGGATGGGGATGTTTGGTGTGTAAGGATGGCTGGCCTGGCTTTTGTGTTCTTCTCCCTTGGGTAGATGAGAGATAGTGATATCGTTGCCTAGAAGTAGGTCAGCAGTGTTTCTTAACGTCCCCTGCCTTCTCAGAAAGCTTGTCATCATATCTTACAGGTCAGAAAGAGAAGAAATGAGTCAACTTGGTCAGTTGGACCTTTGTGTCCTTTAGCATGCCCCCTGTTGTCCCTCTGGACAGAGATCTTGTGGTCTGCCATAGGACTCGGATCCTGGCCCTTTTTCTTTAATTCCTTGGATGTAAATGCAGAGGGGTGTTCATGTCTGCACTTAATAAGAAAACGACATGCTTCTGGTGTCATAATTGGGATTCCTGCTATGTCTCAGAGGGCCTGCAGTGGCAGCCTGAACTCTCATGGGGTTTCATTTGACATAAGTTACTGTAAGTTCAGCTCTTGAGTTTAAGAAATCCCCAGGGCACCAACAAGGATTGGAGGCCATGTGGTGGCAAGACCTGTATCTGGGTGTTGGTTGACAATGGTTCAGGCATTGCTGCCAAAGCACCTCTGCCAGGACCCAGTGAGACAGGATCCCTGCCCTGGTGCAGCTAGGCATCCATGGGAGCAAATTGCCACGCAGAGAAATAAATGCAGAGACTTGCATTTGGGCCAAACAGGTCTCAGATGCACACATGCAGAACTGATGGATGCGATCCAGCAGCATGTGGGAAACGGACCGGAGGGTTTGGGTGGGTTGTAAAGTCATGGTGCTGTTATTGCCAGAACCCTTAATTTGATCTTAAATTTTTTTAATGTAATGACTTTATTGTTTTCATGTAAATGATACATGAGCCTTTAAAAAAAATCTTTCTACCAAACTCTAGCCATAGAGAAAAGTACAAAGAAGAAAGCAACACATTGGCCCAGACTTAGCTCCCAGAGATAACCATTTTATTAACCTGATAGACAGTTTTCCAGATATATCTATGCATGTTTGCAGACAGAATTGATAGCTAGAGAAATACATAAATAGGCACATTTTGGGGTTGCCATAGGGCATGTGTGCTCCCCAGAGATAGAGAGAGGGAAAGTAAAAAATCGCCCCTCAGAAGGATGGCCACCCCATAAGTCCTCCATTCTCCTTTTGGGATTTTGGGCATGCACACATATGCACCCAGCGTGATTATCAAGCTGCTGGATCCAGGATTTGAACTGTTGTCGGGTCGGCCATGTGGGAATCCAGTGTCTTAACCACCACGCCCCCTGCTGGCCCTAAATAGGCAAATTTTAAAACGGTATTTCTTACTGTAATACATGTTATGCATGATATTTTAAACAGAAGAAAATGAAATTGAAGTGAAGTAATACTGAAGAAATTTTTGAGCTTCAAGTCACTGTTTCTTCATCATAAGAAATTAGTTTTGGGGCCAGAAGGTGGTGTGGTGGTTAAAGGCACTGAACTCCCACATGGCTGACTGAAGTTCAAGTCCCAGACCAGATGGTTTGCTTGCTCAGTTTCTCTCTCTCTCTTTCTATCTTGCTCTGTCTAAATTGAAAATAGTAATAGTGATAAGTAAAATTAAATAATTCTAAAAATAAATAAATTAAATAAAAAGAAATTAGTTTCTCATATATCCCTCTAGCATAGTGGTTCATTTTTTTTTTTTTTTAGGATTTATTATTATCTTTTTGTTTCCTTTAATATGCTATAGGGCATGCATGCTCACTAGAGAGAGACAGAGAGAAAGAGAGAGAAAGAGAAAGAGAAAGCAAGGTGCCAGGTCTGGGACCCGGACCATAGTCAGCCATGTGGAAGTCCAGTGCCTCAACCACCGTGTGCCTACTGACTCCTAGCATAGTGGTTCTTAACTGGGAGTGATTTTGACCTTGAGGAGATGTCTGGCAATATCTGGGGACATTTTTGGTTGTCACAACTAGGGCTTGGGGGTTATTGGAGTCTGGTGGGTAGAGGCTGGGGTGCTATCTATCCGAAGATATCAGCAGTGCTGAGGTTGAGAAGCTGTGCTGTGCGAGTAAGGAGAAAAGATTATTAAAGTCATTAGGAAGGTGAAACCGTTATGTGTTAGCTCAGTTGCAGTTATAGGCAATTTTTACTGGGCTTCTGCAATGAAAGATGAAATGATTAACTTCATTATAGTGTCTCCTTCCTCCCCTTAACAGTAAAGTCAAGAAGTGGCATATGTTGTTTTTTACCTTGTCATGGTTTGCAACATTCACCCTCTGTTCTGCATAATCCCTCAGGTATTTAGTCTTCATTCTATATTTAAGTCATTTGGTACCAAACACCGCTTCTCTAGCCATGGATTCCCCTTATCTGAGTCTGTTTTGAGTTACTTCTTGATTGACTATTTAATCTTATTATTATTTTTTTTTATTTGGAGAAGTTTTTGCTATAGGGTGCGTGTATTCTATAAAGACAGAGACAGAGAGACAGAGAGTAAGAAATCACCCACTGAAGGGATGGCCATACCACAATCCCTTCTCCTCCATTCTCCTCTCAGGATCTTGGGCACGCACGCACATGTGCTGCCGGTGTGAGTTTAAGTTACTAGGTCTGGGGGGAGTCCAGTGACATAGCCATTACACCAACTTCTGGTCCCTACTATTTAATCTTAATATAAGCTTAATGTCTATGAGAAGGGAGGTATCAGAACCCACTCTGATTTGCCCTAGTCAGAACTGCTCCTGCAGTTTTGAGTTCATATCTGAGCACCATACGTGGAAGAAGATTAGAGAGACATGCTGGAATGTCTCAAGGATGCTGTGGGAGTCCAAAATATGCCCTGTAGAAATGGGATCGGATGTGGGATTGGACTTGAAAAGTCTTTCATGTAGAAGCAAGATTATTGATCATAACTCTGAGAGCTTCCAAAAGGTTAGAACTAGAAGTCCATTAATGTCAGGCCCTAGGAGGCTGTGTATTCCCTGTTAGCTGAAGGATGCTGGAAAAATAATTACTACCATATTGTATGTGTGTGCTGGGTTATAGCCATCAGCTGAATGGCTATACTTAGGAACTTTCCAACTCTGAGATTCTGATAGTCTAGAATGCTTCTTGGTAGCCACCTGTCCTGAGGAAGAGTTCCAGTCCTTCCTGTCTGCTATCTGGGGAAAAGGCTGAGGCCAGGGCTACGTTCAAAGAGCAGTTGGTTCAGGGTACAACCCTAAATGTGCCATACATCTTAAATTTGGACCCATCACCAATTGGCCTAAAAGCATATGTGTTAGGTTCCACCAAACTAGCTTTTGTTGCTGTCTCTACTATTTACTAGATACAGGGGCTGAGCATGTTCTAAACCCATTCCTGAGCCATTACACGTGCAGTAAATATAATCTAGGCAATGTGTTATAGACCCCACAAAGGAAGAGAGTACACACAGATTGTTCCCTGTGTGATTGAATTGGGTTTTCTGTTAATGTCTTAATCAGATGTCTATCCCAGTGTGACTTACCTATGGCTTTGTTTTGTTGTAGGGGAGCTATCCAGTTTGGGAAGATTTCATAAACAAAGCTGGAAAGCTGCAGTCCCAGCTCCGGTAAGTAGAAGCACATGTTCTACAGGAAAAGGACAACAGGCAATATCCTTAGACAAAGGATCAGGTGGGGAGGATCCAGACAGATTTGGGGGTTCATTTTAGAAGCATTCTAGAAAGAGAAGCATGCAGTGGCTTCTGATGTAAGCATTACCACTGATGATCTGTGTGGCCAGATCCGTGATTCCATATGAAACATTGGACTAAATATGCTCAGCCTCCTTCCACAGGAATTTTGAGAGTCAAACAAGGGATTGTGGGTCAGGTCACAAAGGGTAACATTTATGTAGTGCTCACTATGTGCCCGGCAAATGTTAACTTATTTAAATCTCACAACCCCACAAGGCAAGTGCAGTAATTATCTCCATTTTACAGATGAGGAAACCGAGGCACAGATCATTTATCCATGGCCACACCTGTTGTAAATACAGAGTAGTGATTTGAATTTCCACAGTCTGGCCCAGAGTCCCATGTTCTCATCCTGCTACTGCTTCTCTTCATAAAAAGTTTACAGCCAGGGCCAGCAGGTGGCATGGTGGTTAAGGTTCTGTACTCCCACATTGCTGATGATAGTTTGAGTCCCAGACCTGGTGGCTTGCTTTCTCAGTTTCCCTCTCTCCGTGTCTCTGGTCAAATGAAATAATAATTGTAAATAAAATTAAATAATTCTAGAAGAAAGATTATTTATATAAAAAAAGTTTACAGCCTAGTGTTGACTGTTGTATAATTCTGTTTACATGAAATGTCTAGAAAGATGATAGCTACAGAGACAGATGTAGATCAGTGATTGCCTGCAGCTAGGGGTGGAAAAGGAGATTGACTACAAATAGGCACAGGGGATCTTTCTGGGGTAGTGGAAATGTTCTCAAATTGGATTGTGGCAGTGGTAATACAATTCTAAATTTACTAAGAATCATTGACTCATATACTTAAAGAGGGTGAATTTAATGGTATGCAAATCATGCCTTATTAAAATTGCTTTAAAAAACAAATAATATCTACTGCTAATCTTTTTTAAAGGACTATTATTGCCTAGTTTTTTGCTTGTTGATATATCATTGGATATAAAATAGAAATATGTCAACAACTTAACTATGTCCTCTCAAATCAGTGTAGAGAAAGGCTATTATTTTACTTAATGAGCGCTCCGTGAAGGATGGGACATCTAAAAAGTCATCATGACATTTAGAGGTTGACATTGGACATTAGGGTTTGCATGGATGAGGATGGTTCAGAAAGCAGAGCAGATAGTGTTTTCTGATATAGAGAGCCACGCGGATGATAGATTGATGAAGAGGGACATCCTCTTTGTCCTTTGCCTATGAGCCCCAAGGATTACTGCCAGAGCTTTAGCCTTAGGAAGCCAGGTTCCCTGGCTCCACACAGATTAATAAAGAACTTGGGGGACCAGTAGATGACATAATGGTTATATTGCTGGCCTCCCACGTAGTTAATCATGGTTTGAGTCCTGAACCTGGTGGCTTAAAACTCACACTGGCCTGTGTGTATGAGTGTGTGCACAAAAAATCCGAAGAGGAGAATGGAGGAGAACGGATTGTGGCTCGGCCATCTTTCCTGGGGGCTGATTTCTCGCTTTCTGTCTCTTTGACTCTCTCTGTCACTCTGGCGAGCACATGTGCCCTATAGCAAACAAACAAACAAACAAACAAACAAACAGAAAACAACCTCTAAAAAAATAAAGAAGAACTTGGGAAAGGTAGATCTTTTTTTCTTCCTTTCTTTTAACTTTGGGGAACCTGGGATTTCCATCCATGAAGCTGGGATTTCTAGAGCCATGACTAGGCCTCCAAATGGATGTTGGACTCTAGAATAGGGCACTTTCTCCTGCCATCAAGTCCTTTACCCTTTCCTTGCTTAATTACTCATAATTGCTCTCTCCCGGATCAGATCCAACCTCCTTTGAAGGCTCAGAATTCAAGGCTCGTCCTCTGCAGCCTTCACATTTTAGCTATATCTACTGGCCCATCTCTGTTGCTCCCGTTTGTTTGAGACAGGTTAATTTCCATGCTCTAGGAAGTTTCCTTCTGTAGTAGCACATTTAAGTATGTGTCCCCCCATTTTTCCTTACTAGGCCTCATTTAATTGTCAGGCTTTTAGGGTTGATCAAGAAAATGGTTTACTTTCCTTTTACCAGTGAGGATACAAAAGCCTAAAGTTATGAACTGGACTGTCTGAAATCTATAAAGTAAAACTTTAAGTAATCTTATCCCTACTGGTACAAGATGTGTGTGTGTGTGTGTGTGTGTGTGTGTATACATGTATATATTTAACGTGTTTTTCTTTTTTCCATGTGCATCTGTGGGTGTAATTTTTTTTTTTTTTTTGACAGTCTCTCACTGTATTGTGATCCTTCTGTCTCAGCCTTCTGGATAGCCTGAACTACAGGTGCAAACTACTGCACTCAACTTTTTTAGAGTGAGCTGGGAATCGAATGCAGGCCTCCCATGTGGCCTCGGCCTACTGAGTAGCAGCATCCAGTATATGCTACCACACTGAATGTACATTTCTTTTTTTAACAAGTTTTTGCTTTAGGGCACGTGTGCTTGCTAGAGAGAGAGAGAGACAGAGACAGTGAGAGGGAAAGTGAGAAATTATTCCCCAGTGAGAATGGCCATGCCACAGTCTCTTCTCCTTTATTCTCCTCCCAGGATCTTGGGCATGTGTGTACATATGCCTGGTGTGTTTGAAGCCACCTCCCAGGACTTGAACCGCAGTTGTCCATGTGGGAGTCCAGTGACATAACTGCTATGCCATCTACTTGTACCAGGGTCTACATTTTCATTTCATGTTATTAAACAATACTTAGGCCCCCTCAGATTCAGTGATCATTTCTTTATAATCTTGTCAGACCTCCAGTTTGTGACTAAAAGCACTATAGGGACTTCATGCACATGGTTTAATTTTCCATAATATTAGAGAAAGGACAGAGTTAAGACTGTAGAAGAGGCTCTGTAAGTGTTGGTTTTGTAAGTTCAATCACTCCTTTGTGCTGCCAGTGGATGCATGTTTGCCTTGCCCCATCAGAGAGGGCCGAGATATCTGTAACTCTATCAAATAATGAAATATGACTATCATTTAAAAGCTCTTAGTTCCTCAAAATTAACCACCATCCTAATTTTCAGTGGAGCCCTGGTGACCGTGTAATATGCAAGGCACTGCTCAAGCTGGCTCATTAAATTTGGATGATTGGCATTGAGTTGAATAAGAATAAATCCAGCCATTGTGTCAGATATTAATTGTAGATCAGAATGAGCTATTTATAAATCCCAGGATATTTGATGAAGCTAACTTTTTCAGGATTTGAGTTTAATGTTAGCTCTTTGAAAAGTATTTTGGTGTGTGTGTGTGTGTGTGTGTGTGTGTGTGTGTGTTATTATTTAAAATTTGAACAGAACGTTTTCTTGCTCTACTTGAAAATGTCAGGCCTCATTTTGAAGTTTGGCTCTAAGAGACCATTGCCTGGGTTCCCCCATAGACCACTCCCAGCACCTTCCAGAAGCTTTTTGTTTTATAGCCATTGTTGCCTCTGTTTAAAGGCCAGTTCTTTCCTTCCCTTTTGAAATCCTTTCTTTCTAGTCCTTATTGTTAGTTCTTACTGAAGAAACTCAGCAACTTTTCATTCTTAGGGATGCTCAGTAAAGACTGGATTCATTTAAAAAATACTTGAAAATTAGCATGAGGCTAGAGGTTCAGTTGTCAAGTGATTGTATGCTAGTCGTTTGGAATTCATGGCCCGGGTATGGAGCACTGACCACTCCTCATTAAATGACATCTTAGTTCATGAATCTAATAACCAGTAGTCCGTGGAGTGTTCAAGAGGATAGTAATTTAAACTAGTATCAGGACCAGCTGTTGACATGGTGGTTAAGGTGTTGAACTTCCACATGGCTGTCCACAGTTTGAATCTTGGACTTGGTGGTTTGCTTTCCCACTTTCCCTCTCTGTCTCTCTCTTGTGAAGGCAAGTGCCCTATAATAATAGTACCCTTAAATAATAATAATGATAATAATAAACAAAAATTAATAATTATTTAAAAATATTTTTAAAAAAGGATATAAACTAGTTTCTAGGACATAAAGTAAATCTAATAATTTCTCCCTATTTTCAGCTTTTAGGAATTCAGAATATAGCATCCTAAGACTGAAAGAATAGTGTCTTCGTTTCATTATAATTAGAATTTCAGAAGAACAGCCCTGCTACCAGGATCTTGTCTCTAGTAGATTGTGCAGGGGTCTAGAGTAATGTCAGGCTCCTAGTCCTAGCTCTGGTATGAACTTGAAAGTGATCTTGAAAGTCACTTTGTATTTGTGGTCTCAGCTTTCCCATCCCTAAAATGAATTGTTTGAATGACATGATCTCTTTCACTAAATGATCTCTTTCTAAGCTTCCTTTCCTTGATTCATGTTTATGTTGTTTTTCTACTATGAAGTTAATTTCACTTGTACCACTTTCATTTATTTTTTAAAAGGATGTTCTTTTAGGTAGAAACACCTGTCTTTTTCATTTTGCGAAAATATTGCCTGGTGATAATTTTGTGCACGCAAGTGAAGCTGAATGGAAAAGACTACTAGCTTTTATTGAGTAGCACCAAATGAACTGGACATTAGTGGGCTAGATTGCTAGGAAAAAAAGGGGTCCATCAAGCCAATGATTGTCCACTACCTGTGAACAGTTGAAATGATTCTTTTCGATGGTTACATTCTCTCCAGAGGAGAGGTTTGAGCCCTTGTGCTGTAATGAATTTGCTAGTGTGAGACATTCCTCATGCTTTTGTTATCTGTTTGCATTTTAGGACAACAGTAGTAGCAGCAGCTGCCTTCTTGGACGCCTTTCAGAAAGTGGCTGACATGGCTACTAACACACGTGGTAAGCAGATGGAGGGCTGGCTTCCAGCAGTAACTGAATTCAGCATGTGGGCTCCTCCCCTTGGGTAGTTTCACAAGAAGATGCAAGTTATAAGAGCTTAGCTGCTCATATTTTCATCAAAAACAAAACAAAACAACAAAACGCTGTGGGGTTCCACATATTAGAAGTTGTAGCTAGTTCTCCAGATAGGATGCATATTGCAAAGAAGAACAAAAATAAAGAAAAAGAACCACTGTTTCTGTATGAGGTGGCTTGATATGTTCTTCGGTCACTGCAATGGTATTCTGGTTGGAGAACCACGAGCTGTCTGTGCCTTTGGTTGGCATTTGTTTTTCTGCCCTCATGTAGGTGGGCCTGTTATTTTCCTCATTTCCTTGTGGAATGGCAACAGTAGGGATGGTGTCAAGACCGTTTTTCAGGGTTCCCATCAAACAAGCAAACATTTCATAATAAGTGGGGTATCCCATTATATGGTATCTGTTTTGTGTTTCCCACATCTGACTTTAAACCTGTACAACTGGAGAACAACTTTTTCATGTATGAACCCCTCATACACAGTACCTGAACATGCCTGGTGTTTGAAGTATGTTTATTAAATCCATGAACAAAGGGAAATGTTCTAAAAAGGTGGAATGGTTTCAGTGAGCAGTGAAATCATACAAAGGCTATCCCCTAACATGTGAAAAGTATGAGAGGAAAATGAGAACCCCATACCCACCACTGCCTTTAGAAATACAATGTTACCGTGACATAGAGATCCTGTGTTCTAAACCGGGGTGATGAGGAGGCGTTCCTTCCTTTTCATTCCCATGCAGTGACTTTCTCTTGCCTCTTACTTGGCCTTATCTTTCTGGGTCCCCTTTTGCCCTGACAGCAAGAAGCCTGTTCTCTTCATTGTCATGGTGACATTGGGAAATTGGGGTACTGGGAGCGACTGTTGGGGAGGTTGCTCTGAGACACGTGAGAGTGGAGTTTCTCTGAAGTTCATGATGGCTTCCTCCAGCAGGTTTCAGTAGATACCTGTTTACTGTAGGTGCTAATTAAATATTTGAATGCATTTGCAGTGAGGATACTTCACATTCATTTAAGAAACTCGAGCTCCTTTTATTTCGAGCTCCTTTTATTTCAGGCACTGTCATGGTGCCACAAAAATCAATCCATTGCTCTCTGTCCCTGGGGAGCTTGCAATTAAGTGGGGAAATGAGATGTGTAAATAAAGCACGTGAGCATAGGATATGTTTGGTATGGTAACAGCGGGAGAACACAGTGCTCAGGGAATATTGTGAAGTGAGTGGTGAACTCAGCCACACACACCAGGAGGTTCTCCCGGGGGAGGTAATATTTCTCCTCATTTCCAAAATGCCAACAGTGTTTGAAACAGATCCCTTGGAGAATGTGATGGAGAGATCAGAGCCATTGTTTCATTATCCAGTTTGTTGGCTTGATGTGGGTCTAAATGGGAATCTTTTTTAAAGCTCTTTTGGGTCAGCTAGTGGTGTGATGGTTAAGGCAGCTGCATACCATGTGGTTGACTACATGGTTTGAGTCCTGCATTCAGTGGTTTTCAAAAAAATATGTCATGTATGTGTGCTTGTTTACTCAGAATCCTGAGAGGAGAAATGGAGGAGAAGGGATTGTGGCATGGCCATTTACCCTTGTTTGTGTATGTGTGTGTGGGGGGAGTGCTTTCTTTTTTTTCTCCTCTCTTTCTGTCTCTCTCTGGCAAGCACTCTGGCAAATTAAAAAAGAAAAAATCTCTGTTATTTTATAGCTTATGTGTGTCTATTACAGAAACTTTTAACTCCTCTAAGCATAAAGAAGAACCTAATGGGCAAGCCAGTGTTTACCACTGTCAGTATTATTGGGTCAGTTTTTACTTTTAATATTTCCTTTTACTCATGAAATAATCTGGAAGTGAACTTACCAACTGTGTTGATAGCTTTTGCTAATAGCAATTAGAATATGTCATCTCATCGGGCCACCCCTGTAGTGCAGAGGTTAAACACCGTGCATATGGAGCTGGATCTCACATGGCTGATCACAGTTCAAACCCTGGTCCTAGCAACTTGAAATACTCACTGGGCACCTGGGCCCCAAATCCTGACAGGATGGACACATGGAGGAAAAACGATTGAGGCATGACCATGTTGGGGGCAGCTCGCTCATGCTCTCTCCCTCTCCCAACCCCCTTCTTTTTCCTCTCCCTCTCCCTCTCCACATGTGCCCTCCTCACAATTAAAGAAAGAAAAAAAAAGAATGTGTCTTTATTTTTCAAGAGCTGCCTCACGATTTTGAAGAACTTAGACATCTGGTGTTGCATTTTGAAGCTCTGTGATTCATAGAGGTTGTAACTTTTTACTGTTTAATAATTGGATGGACCCTAAAGGATGGGCTAGCAGGGCATCCCCTCATTGCCCTTAATTTCCTGCAGTTGGAACCTGGGGTTTTGAAGAGGCTCCTCCCTAGAATGGTTCTTGGTGGGAAACGGGAGGGTCTGGAAATTCTCATGATTTGAAGAGAGGGAAAACAGAGCAATTACTTGTGGGAAAAGAAACTAGGAAAGCCTCTTTGGAGTGGCGTGGGGGTAGAGTAGGAGTTGGGAGTAGATGTTTTTGACCAAAGACCAATAATGTCACAGTGAACAGACCACAGCTTTGACATATTCTTAAGCCATTTGATTTCAGGCCAGATTTAGTGATGCCAGAATGTTTTCTGTTTAGAATCCATATGTGCTAATACTTTCATGTGTGAGAACTCCCATATGACCTAGAAAGTAGTTGGTTGATAGAAAGTAACATTTATAGAGGTAAGAGGAATCTGAATACACTCTGAATACACTTTCTGTATGTCAGTGGTGTCAGAAGTGAGTTTTGTTAAGATAATTTTTTTTTTTTGGAGAGGTTTTTTATTTTTTTTCTTTTTCTGTACGGCACGTGCGCTTACCAGAAAGACAGAGGGAGACAGAGAGATAGAGAGCGAGAAATCACCCCTCAGGGGGATGGCCATGCCGCAATCCCTTCTCCTCCATTCTCCTCCCAGATCTTGGGCACACATACACACGCGCCCGGCGTGAGTCTAAGCCACTGGGTCCGGGCCTCAAACCATGGTCGACTACATGGGAGTCCAGCGACATAGCCATTATACCAACTGCTGGTCCCAAGTAAGTTTTACTTATAAATTGAAAAATAGGACTATGCTTTAAAAAAAATCCACTCTCACCCCTTGTAGGGGTTTGACTTAGTGTCATTTAGAGACTTTTTTGCCCATACAAACAAATGTGTGGGAAGAAAAAATTTAGTTGCAGAACACTATGGAAGAAAGCAATTCTATGTGATAAAAAACATTGTCCTTTGCTTTTATCCCACAGTATACTATCTTTCCGTGAGTCAGTACCTGTGGCTCTAACTTCCTTTCTAGTGGTCACATGCAATCTTGCTGCCTGGATAAAGCATAACTTAATCACTGTTCTATTGATGGATATTTAGATTTTCTCCATGTATTTGATACTACAAGCTATGCTGCAGTTAATGCCTGTGTATACATTCTTCTCAAGTAAAGCAGTGATCTGTTTTTAATGGTTTATGTATCACCGAGGAAATGAATCTCTACAAAGTGCTTCAAGCTGTCTTGGTCAGCAGGA